GGGGGGGGGGGGGGGGGGGTCTGCTTTGGGAGTTAGTGCGCCGTGGTTTGCCTCCCAAGTTAGCAGTCTGGGATTCAGGGCAGAGGTGTTTGTTGCGCAGAGTCAGGTTTGAGGCAGTGGAGGGTTTTAGGATGCAGGGCTTCGCAGTTCTTCTTTAGGGTTTCTTTGGGATTCGCCACTAGGGTTCAGGGTGTTACATAGGTTCTAACGTTTAGGGGCTCCGAGATTATGGAGCATAAGCTTGCCGTAGTTTGCAGGTAGTAGGTTTCAGAGGTCTCTGGGTCGAGTCATGCATCCGTAATGATCTTTAATTCATCTACAGACCCGAAGCACGGAAAGCTTAAGGCGCCAGAAGTCGCCTCGCTTGCAGAGAGGTGGGGGAGAACTTTTGGGTTTAGGNNACCCTAAACCCTAAGCCCTAAGGGTCGGGCTGCAAACGAGCTTGAAACCACTCGAACCCTACATCCTGAAGACTCGCCTTAAAGTTTCGTCCCTAACCCCCGCGCTAAAGCCCCGATGTGAGAACGAACGGCTACCGAGGCTACGACGAATCCGGATGGCCCGCGTGGGGGAACGACGAGTGGGGGGATGGTTGGGCTGAGAATCACATGGATGCTGGGCTCCCACGCAGGATAAGGATTGTCAATGTTCTGTGCAAGGTCATGAGTCTTGCAAACGCGATTTCAGGATTGAAGCACTGCTTTGACTTTGAGACGATAGCAAACTTTAAGTCGTGTCTTCGGCTGGACCAGACAAAGTTTCGAGCGAGGAGGTAACTTGAGGAATGTCCGCCTAGCCAGCTATGCATGTGAAACTGCTCTGTGTCGTTGTGGGGCCTGGTCGAAGAGGGCAACACGGTAACACTGAGTATAGCAGAGCTCTGATGACGATAAAGATGCTGGTTGACGATGAAGAAGAAGACGACCCATAGGCCCCATAGTAGCTCCTTTTGGGACTACCTAATAGGATTCTAAATATGAACCCCAAAAAGGAATTACTACGGGGCCTGTGGATGAGTTGAAGTAGTTGATCGTCAGGGCAGCACCATCACCAGCATCATGATCTTAAGGCTGACGGCCAGTCTGATGGCACCACAACCAGAGTCTGCGTGTTGAAGCTGCCCCATATGCTAAGGACGAGGGTCAAACCTTGGAGGAGCTCGGAGAAGAGCCTGATCTCTGGGTGCCCTGGCCTGATTGGAGCCCAAGGTTTTTTGGGGTCATGGCTCTGGCTGCATTTCCCTGCATCAATGTTCAGGATGCTTGCTCTGCATCTGTTGTTTGTGGTTGGTTATGCTACCACCATGGGCCCCACACTTCAGGATAAAGCTTGAACCGCCTAGCCTACAGATCTTCAGGATATGCCGGATATGGCTGCGGCTGGGGATGCGCCGTGGTACGGTGGCTACGGCTATGGACCGCCAGGGGACAGTCCATCAGATGTCTGGCTGCAATTAGACTGGTTGCTTTCTTGTTCTGGCGACGTGTCGTGGCATAAGCATAGGCTTCAACCACCGAGATACCAGTCAGTCAGACTGGTCATGGATAGTAGCATCAGCATGAATAGCAGCAGTGGTTAAACAGTCACTGTTCTCAGTGAGCTAGCTAACGAGAGAGTGATCGAGCTAAACATCTGTTTTCTTGGCTGCAGCTGATGCTGCCACGACCGGACCTGTTCCGTGTCTCAGGATAGTTCGCATTATTATAGCCATTGTTACTGCTCCGGTGTGTCCCGCTGTTTGTGTTTCTCTGACCGCTGTGCTACAAGCGTCGTGCTTCTATGGTATGATTTTGTAGCCAGCTTGCGTATGCCTTAGGTGTTGGAATCCGTCGCCGATTTGATTGAAATGCTTCATGTCCGGCATCTGCCTACCTTACGAATTCAACACCTAAGTCGCAGGTTCCGCCGGGCTATGGTGCATCCGCATGGCTGGCCGGTACCCAGGAGGCCATCTGGTTTTAGGGTTTACCCAGACCCCCAAAAGGATCTAAAAAATAGATCCCCTAAGGGGGTTCCTATAAAGTACCCTTTAGTAGATAGGGTCCCTAATTAGGGGATCTACTCTTTAGATCCTTTTGGGGGTCTGGGTAACTTGAGCGTGCTAGGCTTGAAGGCAAAGAGTGGTTGTCGGACTCGGACGTTGCTACGGTGGTTGAGGTTATATAGGCCCTTTATGAGACTATATAAGGGGTATTTAAGGGTTATATAGGGGCTTTATATGAGAGTTGCTCTAAACCCCAAGCTGAACTGCTTTGTTGGTGATCCTTGCGATTTGCTCTGAGTTGCTAGGCGTTTGAACTTCGTAGCATCACGCAGAACCGATGTACCTGCAAGTAAGGACTCCAAACCGCAGGGGCAGTGCCGTAAACGGAGGTTCGTCAAAAGGCGTCGAATTCCACAAATATACTTAGAAGAAAAATACACACATACACACACTTAACTTTACGACTTGGCAGTTCGCATTGCGCAATCCACACGTTTTCAAGCATGGAAGACCTCATGCCTGATACAGAGGCCTGTCCAAAACCTAAAGCTTCATTGTAGGAAGCTCGGAAGCTTGATCTTAACACTCCTCATCTCGTAAGACCCATCCCTCTCAAGACCCTTGGATTGTTTTCAGTTTTTTGTAAGCGACATTTCCTTAGGGCTTGGCTTAGCGACGGAAGGCCGCTGTGGGGAGGGATTTGATGTCCGCGGGCCGCACGCGGCCACTCGAGAAGCCTTTGCTCCAACCTCAAGCCGAATCGCAAGCCAAACCTAGCGGCTTAGCGACATCTCAAACAATAGCAATAATGTTACTAGCTAAGATGGCTAGAGTCACTATGCTCACATTACATACGTGAAGTTAGAAGTATTTTCATCTGTGAGCATCTTAAATTACAGCTCGACTTCCTGATGAGAGAGACATGCCAAGATGCCCACATAGTAACAGAACCCGTATGCACCCCTGTTGCTACCCTTCTAGGACCTTTACAGTCACTCTTTCACCTTGCATTTTCAGTGTTGAATCTACCCGAAATCCTTATAGATCCTTTAGAGAACCCTTTTAGAACCTCTTAAATCATTAAGGAACCTTTCTACTCTAGGGGCTTTAATTATTGCCTACACTACTTTGGTGGTTCCTTCTTATAACTATAGTATAGTGGGCCCCAAAACCCTGTTCTAATTATTAAGGCTCCTACATTAATCCCTAAACCCGATTCTAATTATCAAGGCACCTATACAAAGCAAGTACAACAGTTTCCAATATGTAGTTCACTTC